GATGAAATTTATGTAGGCCATGAGTTAAAATAAACCCAAATTCAACATATTAAAATGATTACAACTTTAAAGTTGTACTCATTGAAAGGATACTTGTTTCCTTTTTAATGTTGATGTCCATTAGACATATTTTTAAGAATTGAAAGGTTTCCACTGAAAATCAGACTTATACATGTGTCCAAATAACTTTTAGTAATTTTAAAGTCAAATTGTTTTTGAACATAACTATTCAGTCTTTTAAATTCATTTAGTAAATTGAGTCCTAACTTCTTAAGGATCTGTTTTAAAATTAGCAGCATCTTTGAAATGGTGCTATAAAGTGATATTTATTTCAATTTTGAATGATGACCAGCTTTTTTTCTAAATATTGATGATTTTATCACAATAGGAAACGTTTAATTTTCTGATGCTTCTAGGCGTTCTTTAAAAAAAAATAATGTTTATTTATTTTTGAAGGAGACAGAGACAGAGCATGGATGGGGTAGGGGCAGATAGAGAGTGAGACACAGAATCCAAAGCAGGATTCAGGCTCTGAGCGATCAGCACAGAGCCCGACAGGAGGCTCAAACTCACAAACCTCAAATTCATGACCTGAGCTGAAGTCTGAAGCTTAATGGCCTGAACCACCCAGGAGCCTCTCTAGGCATTCTTAACATTCCATATATAATGAAGTAATGTTGCAATCAATTTTTGGATACAGAGAAATGTAAAAAAAACATTAAGTGAAAATATGGAAAAAGTAATCTTTTGTAAATAATATGATATTGAAAATGAAAAAGTGTTAGAAAACAATCTTATCTTTATGTTTTTCTTACCTTTATAGAAAGACACATCGGAAACATTTACAATAAAAGATCTTGAGGAAGCAATGATTCCACATAAAAATAAACTTTAAAGGGTTAAAAGAGCTCTTCCAAAGTCTCTAAATGTAGGGAGCACTAAAACACAAAACTAAACTAAAAATAAAACAACAACAAAATGTAACTGTACTATAGAAAGCTATCCAGAGATGTGTATGGAGATGGAAAGTTCTCACTTAGTGAAAGTCAATAAACTTTGAGCATTTACTTTCTGAAATGTAAACACATTGAGGGAAAAATAAAAGCCAGAGCCTTTCTCTCTCGTCTCTCTCTCTCTCTCTCTCTCTCTCTCTCTCTTTCACACACACACACACACACACACACTGAGGTTGTCTTTGCTCTTTCACTTCTAGGTAGAAAAGTGAAAAAAATAGATGTGGCAACCTTCAACTGTATAAATGTAACCCATTCAAAAGTAATGCAATCACTTATCTAAGAAGCTTTTATCATTTTTGAAAGGTTTGAGGAAAGCTACCTTATCTGTTTTAAATATCAATTTTAATTAACATAAGAAAGTTTTTTGCAATTTGAAAGGTATCAAAGAATCTTTTCTCTTTGCATTCCCTTTTGTATACTAAATTCAGAAGTAGAAAAAAATTGTTATAATGTCTGAGAACTTCAGCCATAAGGGAGATGAAAGATAAGTTTGACAACATAAGGCAAAAGCTAGAACTTCTTTTCTGTCCAGGGATCAGTTCACTCGCAAGTTTTTAATAGAAAACATCCACCCCAAGCTTTATTTTCCATTTGCAGTGAGAACAGGATGTGTGCTTCTCCTTTAGTTTGGACTCCTTTTTAGTCAATTATGAGATTTGGGAAGCTGGGCTAGTGTCTTTTTCCTGAGCTGATTTTCTTCCTGGTCACAGATGTAAAGACTTTTTACCTGAGGACCAAGTAAATTCTGTTGCCTGTAAGGTCATGTACTTTAGTTTGTTAGTGTGATTTCCCGTCACCTTGAAATGAGTGACATTCCAACCAAAAGTAAACACCTAGTTCTGCCTTGCTCTGACCATCTAAAATAATTATGGAGATCCCTTCACAATCCTTTTGTGGCTTAATGAACTGTATTAGGGTATTTTGAAAAAGTTTGGATTTACATTGATCCGATCTAGAGTTCTTTGGGATAATTCCTTTGTGAATGGTAGTATATCACTAAGAGTTCTCAGAGGTGCCTGGAGGGTCTGTCAGTTAAGCGTCTAACTCTTGATTTCAGCTAAGGTCATGATCTCACAGTTCTCTGGGCTGACAGTGAGAAAACTGCTTGGGATTCTCTCTTCCCTCTCTCTGCCTCTCTCTCTCTCTCTCTCTCTCTCTCTCTCCCTCTCCCTCTCCCTCAAAATAAATAAACTTAAAAAAAAGTTTTCAACTGGTATCTGCAGGACAGAAGTAGTCACTCTGTACCTCAGTTCCTTCTGCACCTCAGTTCCTTCAGCCCACATTGGTAATAACGCTGGGCATCCTCTGTCAGAACCAGGCTCCACAGGCTATTTCAGACTCAGTCTGTGCTTACCTCCACCAGAAGTAGCTTTTGCAAGCTTCACTCAGCCTCCTTGGTTTTGGACCTCTTTGACGGTTGCCTTAGATTCTACCTGGAATATCCTTCAAAGTCTTTATTGTAATTGTAAACTTCCCCACTTATTTCCATACCTAGTATTCTTGGAGGGGGTCTTTTAAATCTATAGACCCTGGCAAAGGGTCTGACTTAAGGCAAAATAAACATCTGCTGATTGAGAAAACTGTAATTTTAAAAGTCTCTGGGTAGTCACTGAAAGGTGCAATAGAATTGCTGGTTGTGAATGGTTTGTTGTTATTAGCCGATAATGAGAAGAGCTGGCTTCCAAGAATAATTCAGCTATCACTAAAGGAAAAGCTAAGGCAAAGACATTGGATTCAGGTTCTGACAGGCCAGTTTAGTTATGCCAGATAATTCAAGTGAAATCCTTAATTTAAAGAGCTTTGCTGCCATAGCAACCTAATTACAATGTACAGTGAGGCACTCCTACCATGATTCTGTAATGTTACATTCCTTCAAGAGTCCCAAATAAAATTCAGAGGAAGAAAACAAAGAAAAAAAGTGTGTGTGTGTGTGTGTGTGTGTGTGTGTGTATTTGTGTTGAATTCTTTTACTTTCATAATCTTCTTCTTTACAATATGATCACAAAGTCCAGTGGGTCACTTAACACCATCCAGTGACAGCCAAAGTTCCTCTTATAACATAACTCAGCATCGTATAATTTCTCTGCTCAAAGCCTCTCAGTGGCCTCTTATCTTACAATAAAATGGGACAGTCATACCATGAACAACAAATTCTATGTTCAAGGTCTTGGTAGATGCAGAAATTTTTCCTTTGCCTCAAAAGTTCTTCTCCCTGATAGACCAAAGCTCTCCTGCTGTTTTTCAAGACTCTCTTCAAAGCTTACCCAACCTGAAAGATTTACCATTCTTCCTTAAAAAAAAAAAAAAAAAAAGCAATGCTTCCTTTAAACTTCTGATTCCTTAATCTTCTAAAACAAGCTCTTTTCTTGAGCCTTATCACCACCTGACATTATAATTCATGTAGATGTATTCATATATGTGCTATACATAACATACATATTTATTTAAAGCCTTAAAAACAGACTTTTCCTCACATTTAACGTTTTTTAAAGCTGCAGCAAAGCCAGAGACAATACAGTAGTTATTTACAAAGCTAAAGCTTCTTAAGTTGCCTGCTCCCAACAAAATTAAGAAATAAATGCAAGAAGAAGCATGCTTCATTTGGAGAATAAAGGAATACATGGGTGAAGAGGGCCCTAAATATGCTCTACCCATTCCCCTGCCTTTTATGGTTGAAGATGGAAGAGTTACTCATAGTTACATAAGGCCGCAGCTACTAATTATAGCGAAACCAAGACTAGAATCCACTTCATTCCAGCACAGCACCCCTTCATAGCATGTTAAAACTACTGATGTACTTTTTTTCCTGAGATTTCTCAAAATAAAGTATATAAGACACAGCCTCTCTTTATACAGAAAAATAAGAATTAATGTGCATTTACCTAAATAGATCAATAAAGGTCATATCTAGAAAAATTACTGAAGATTATGCGTGGTCAGATTTTTATTATTTTAAAAATATTGTAATAGTTACTCGCTGCCAACATTTTATGAACATTCCCTCTGGTCTAGGCACTTCAGCTCAGTGTCTCTATTCTTCACAACAAACCGGCCAAGTAGATTTTATTAGTCCCATTTTTCAAATGAGGACAATAAAATTCAATGTGACACAGCACATTGCCCAATTTCCCATAACCAGAAAGGGTCAGAGACAGAATTTAGACCAAGGTCACCCAGGCTAGTGCCCATGCTTTCTCCTTGCATATGCTTTTGTATGATAACAATGGAGAACTAGAATAATCACTGGTGTCATTGAACTTATCTGCTGTGTGACACTTCCCATGATCATGGAATGAGTGGGGTTCCAGGCCAACTTCTGCCACTCTATACAAATAAAGTGACAGTGACAAGATGTGTTGGAATGTATTGTTATAGAAGAAACACTCCCTTTATTTACTTGACTCGGACCAAGAATACATTCATCCTTGCCATAGAGGTTTAGAAGAGAAGCACCCATCTGGCATATAAAATTTGGATAATCCCTACAGTAGAAAGGAAAAGAGGGGATGGACAAAACATAAGTTGAAAATTCAACATTTGCATTTGTTTTCCCATTTTGCTCGAAACAGGCATCTTAGAAAGCTTTACGATTATAATTAACTATTGTTCATTCTCTGCCTTTGAGATGGCATAAAAACATTTAAAAGCAAGAAAAAAGCCCATTGTAAGGGCTTAGAAAGTAAAAAGTAAGTCATTTAATTTTTCTTTCATCTCATGTTAATTTATGCAGAAGCTAATAACATATTTGTGGCTCAGAGCTGCTCGTTGTGGAGAGGATTTCTCTTTCAACTAGACTTCCCTGTGATCCCTGCCAGATAGAGCCATCATTTTAGGATGGAAGACCCTTTTGCCAGACAGAGGCAATAGACTGATAAGTTCACATTCTACAGACCCCTTTGACTGCTATCCCTCTGAAAACCAGTGGTATTAAATGTTCTAAGTCTTACCTAGCTGCCACAGACAAAATAGCCAACAACGTGGAAGAGAGGGTGAGGAAGAAATTACATATTTGGGTGCATAGTCAGGCGGAAACAGAAGAGCGTTGTTGAATCGAGGGAGATAAAAGTCAGGGGAAGAAGGATTTTCATAAAAGAAATAAGCAGGATATTCCTAGCAGGATGTAATTAAATTGTTGTGTTTTTTATAATTCCATTAATTCCACTGCTGCCAAATCACCTATAGAATAGAGACAATAGTGCTTGAAGAAATGCAGAATCTTCAAGTTGATGTTTTAAGTGAATTCACCATGAATAAAGTAAGCCCCATAATGACAGCTTAAAGGTCTAATTCATAAAAATGTTATTAAAGTACATTATTTATACCTGCTTTTTGTGGACTTCTGCTTTTATTCATGACTCTCTCGGTGTATGGCCATAATCACAGGCAGAGTGTAAATGGAAGCATTAATTCAATCTGAACTAAGGCAGGAATACTGTATCACCACAATAAAACTCCAGTTATATTAATTTAAAGGGCAGAATTTACTGCACAGGAGGATTCTCTTTTTAAAAAAAAAAAATGAAAAGAATGTCTTCCATCTATGATCTCAAATATCTACTTTCATTCTGAAGTTCAATGTAAAAATGACTAATTGGCATGACTTTTAAATGAAATACTTATTCATCTACACTATGAAATGGAGAGACTTGGATACTGAGTTGTGATCTTATTGTGACTACAGTCTAGATATTTGATATGGGCTAAGAAATATTTACAAGCAATCTGTATTTTAATGAACCCATTTTCTGGCACAAATGTTTAGCAAATGCCAATTCAATTGTCTGGCATATGCATTTATTTAGATAAGATGGAAAATGCCCTGTTATGTTAAATTTCCCCCAGACAAGCTGAAAGTAATAATACTTAAATCAAAAGTATCTTTATTCAGAATTTTAAACATGATTTGCATATTAAATATGCATAAAGCTTTAGGAAAAGGCAAAGTGGAATTCAATTGGTTTATTTCTAACTCTGAAACTATCAAAATCAGGTTTCTTGACTTTCTACTTCTGACTGGGCAGCTGTAATGGCACACTGCAGACACATTTAGACAGAGTGTGAATATCTTTCTCCCTACGACACTAGCTTATCTCTAGGAGTCTTGAAAAGGGGTTCTTTATAAATTATACTTCTAACACTGAAAGTGTTGTCTTTGATCTTGTAGGTAAAAAATCTCTATACCTAAGGGAATGAATTAATTCCTATATTTAATGAGATGCAGTCATTAGTAGACAACTTCAACATTCTTACTGGAACTATGCATTGGATTTCTTCATCACAGTAACCATCTCATAATAGCTCTGGGTAATGAAAATCTTTGAATGCTTGGCATCTATAGTGTGATGAGAGACAAACGACAGATACAAAGGTGCTTCAAATATAAGGTAAATAGCACTACTCGTTGAGGATAAAAATTAGTCAGTTTCCAACATTAATCGAACTTATAGCTGCCTCAAACCTAGAAACACTGAATGTTCCATTTCAACCACTTCTACATGACTTTTTTATTTGAAATGAGTACACTTACCAGAACAATGTCCAGAGATGACCAGTTGTTAACATGGCAATGGCTAGGCATTTGAGGTTCCCTCTGCTCCTCAGATTAAGACTTTCTCAGATCTCTGAAAAAGACCTCCTCCATGAAGAAGGCCAGAGGCACCACATGCTGTTCTGTGTGGAACCCAGGCTCACTACAAACCTCTGGGTGCAAAGAGTGTGAGCAGCCTCATTGACACAACCACTCAGAAAGGGCAGTGGAACGTATGTCCCCAACACACTGCCAGACAGATGTCACCAGACTCCAAATGCCTGCTGACAAGAAGCAGATTTGACAAACGGTTAAATCAAAATAGATCTCACTAATGGCCTCATGTACTATTTCTAATGAAACTGAACATATGAAAAGAAAACAAACAAACAAAAAACTATTGTTTTTTTTTAGTTTACCTTCAGTATCTTTCCCAGACATGATATTTTTATTTCATATATTAATATCTTACTTTAGGCTCCAAACAATTGCTTGGTTCAGAAAGCTCAAAGGATCTTGTTCATTATTTATAAACAATATTAGCAACCAACAATTTTATGCATTTACTGTGAGCCAGGCACTGTGCAGAGTGCTTTGTAAATATTATCTAACTTTGAGGGGAATACTATTATTTTACAAATGAGGAAAATAAGGCTTAGTGAGATTAAATCACTTGCTCAAAGTCACAAAGCTATCTGGAGGCAGAAGTGACTTAACGGTAATCCTTCATTCAAATCTTGGTTTTTCCTTTGTACTACATTTTCCTGAAGGAAATAATTGCAACTTTCTTCTCTAGAAAAAGAAGAGGAAAGGAAGAAAGCTGAGAAGAAAGTGACTTCTGAAACAAAAAAGAAAGGTGAGCAATTTAAAAACTAACACAGAAACCAATTAATATCCCTTTACAATGCTACTTGTAAATCTCTTGTTTACTAGGAAAGATATTCTCTTAATAATTTTATTGTTATTTCTATTAATAGTCTTGAAATTTATAAATATTCCAATTAAGGTTGAATTGATAAATTTTTAAAAAGAAAATTCATGTCTAAACACTTTTACAAATTGTTACAGATTGAATTTTTTCTTACTGAGAAGTGGTACTCAATTCTCTCTCATCCAGTACATTTGACTACAAATACAAATATGAAATTCCTATTCAATTCATTCAGTTTAATAAAAAGTTGTCTATCAAAAGGGCAACTATTGAATGTATATAGAAAAAAAAAACCCTAGTTGATTGATAAACTGTATTTTGTTACTTTAAAAAACTTTTTAAATGTTTATTTATCCTTGAGAGAGAGAGAAACAGAATGAGCAGGAATGGGGCAGGGCAGAGAGAGAGGGAAACAGAGTCCAAAGCAGGCTCCAGGAGTCCAAAGCAGGCTCCAGGCTCCGAGCTATCAGCACAGAGCCCCACGCAGGACTCAACTCACTAACTGTGAGATCATGACCTAAGCTGAAGTCAAAGGCTTACCCAACTGAGACACCCAGGTGCCCCTATTACTTTTAGACAGTTGTTTTCAAATAGTGCATCTAGAGTCTCAAATGAGCTCCAGAGATTTTTGAGCTTCTGACGTGCTTCCAGTGGCTTGATAGTCCAGATAACTTTCAATATATTCATTTTAATGTCCTTTAGAAAAACTATTGAAGTATAACAAAATTGATAATGGCATCTAATGTTTCCATTGTCATGAAAATTTTCTTTTAGAGCTTAGCACAGATTTTCTCCCTTCCTGAGGAGAAAACACACCAGAGCCCCTATTCCATTAGGAAAGTGTTAGTTCGCTCATATTTAACACGACTATGGCACAGATTTAGGATTACTCTATAAAAGATGAGTTGGGTCCATAATGGCAGTCATGTGTGCCCCGAATTATATAAGAATTACACAGACACCTACAATTTTCTCATTTTGTTACCAGAAAAAGAAGATGTCAAAAAGAAAACTGACAAGGAAACTGCCATCGATGTCCAAAAAAAAGGTATTGTACTTTGTTTCCTTAGTCAAATTATGTTCACGATGTTTGTTCGTGGAAGAATTTGGGGCAATGTAAACACACTGGAATAGATACTTAAATCTGTGCAAGTGCAGGCTGTCAAAGCAAACTTTGATCTGGGTGAAATTAAAAGTGCAAGGCAGGCTTTATTCAAGGCTGTTACAAAAGAGGGTAGAGGCCACAACTCACTCTGAACTCAATTTCACTGAAACGAAGAGCAGGAGAGTTGTTAAGAGCTGCAATTGGGTGGAGGGTTGCAGGCCACATGTGTGCAAATGGGCCTGACTCGAAGCAAAAGTAAACTGTTTTCTCAACTTCTGGACACCAGTGCGGTTTTACAGCTTGGAGCAAGGCACTCAAAGGAGTTAGATTCTTAACTATCCCACAGAAACTGGGAGACTGAAGTACTATTGTTCTTGATGATTACATTTCAAAGGGATGTCTTCTTGCTCCCTGAGAAAGATATTCTTGAGTTAGAAAACCAGGAAAGAGCCTTTTGAAAAGACTTCTGTCTGAAAGGAGCAGAGAACGAATTTACAATTACAAGTCTTCTGAAGTAATTGCTCTAAGAAAAGAGAGGGCAAGAGCCTAAGGTCAGAAAGAAGCCTGTCTAAAGTTTAGTGAGGCTGAAGAGAACTTTAAAGCCATCCTGGTGAAGACATAATGAAATTGAGAAGAGCTACGTAGTATAATAACATCACTTTACAAAGCTAAGAAGCTCAGAGAGAGTAATGCAGACCATTAAGAAAGAGCATTGTTCAACAGCTTAGATTTTTGCTTTATACTTAGTCGTGCTTTAATTCTTGTTCAGACATGAATACCGGCTTCTATTCGGGTTAAGCTTAAGTTTAGGTGAAAAAGATAGTTGTCTCATATTATGAGATATTATGGCTTGGTGTTAAGTGTTCTCACCCTAAATATTTCCTCCACTGGTGTCAGTGATGCTTGAAATTCCACCATTAGAGATACTCCATTCTGTTGAGTTATGAAGGAATTGTCCTCTATTAAAATGCAAATCTCCTAGGCCTGTGTGTATGGGGTAACAAACTAATTCTTCTCCGTATTAACACTTAAAGTGAATGAAATTTCCAGATCCTTTCTGTGTAATAATAAGCTGGAAACAATGCCCTCGAAAATGAGGCAGTAGGTAAGCTTAAATAAAGGAGAGTTTGAAGAGAAAGCTTCAAGTTATGCTATTGTGTGGAGACAGAAGGACTGGATGGCATCAGTGAAAACCTTTTTCTTTCTATGAAGTGTATAGCTTATGTGGGAGGGCAAAAGTGATGCTGAAAGATTCTGAAAAAGAGGACCTTTGAATACCAAACTAGATAACTAGTTAGTAGCAAATAGGGATTGCAGGAAATCCCCATCATCATGGTATAAGCAGGGTAAAAATAATTGTAAAAAATTAAGAGTTGCATGATTGTATGATTCATGAAATGTTCAAGAAGAAAACTCCAGGTGTTCTGTCAGTCTGAGTACTGATTGCCAAATATTTTACTTTGCATTCAAATTTTTGTTATTAAGAGTATATTATTATAGAATCCATTGTGTTATTGAACATTCCTTCAGTTTGATTTAAAACTTTCCTTATGCCCCTGGCGAAATATGTACCTTATCATAAGAAACAGAAAGTGCACCTCTTACACCGTTGGTGGGAATGTAAACTGGTGCAGCCCCTCTGGAAAACAGTGTGGAGGTTCATCAAAAAATTGACAATAGAACTCCCCCATGACCAGCAATAGCACTGCTAGGAGTTTGCCCAAGAGATACAGGAGTGCTGATGCATAGGGACACATTTATTCCAATGTTCCTAGCAGCACTCTTTGGTTCAATAGTCAAAACATGGAAAGAGCCTAAGTGTCCATCAGCTGACGGACGAATGGATCAAGAAGATGTGGTTTATCTAGACAATGGAAAACTACATGGCAATGAGAGAGAATGAAATCTGGCCATTTGTAGCAATGTGGATGGAACTCGAGGGTGTTATGCTAAGTGAAATAAGTCAGGCAGAGAAAGACAGATACCATATGTTTTCACTTATAAGTGGAACAAGAGAAACTTGACAGAGGACCATAGGGGAGGGAAAAGGGAAAAAATAGTTAAGAAGAGGGAGGGAGGCAAACCATAAGAGATTCTTAAATACTGAGAACAAACTGAGGGTTGATTAAGGATGGGGGAGTGTGGGGAAGAGGAGAAAATGGGTGATAGGCATGGAGGAGGGCACTTTTGGGATAAGCACTGGGTGTTATATGGAAACCAACTTGGCAATAGACTATAATTTAAAAAATAATAATAAAAGAAAGGGAAAGTCCAATTCTGACTCTATGATGATACTGAGAAATCAGTTGTTTGGGTCAGTGTATCTATGACATAATTGGTTACTAAAGGGAAACAAAGTTCTCCTTTCTGGGCCATCATTTTTACCAAGTATTTGCAGAAAGAAGTTTTGAATTGAATTGTAATCTCCAAAATATTTGTCATATGTTTGCAAATGCAAAATCAGAAAAATACTTTGGGCAAAACTCAGTGGTGTGTGTGGTCGTTTTGGTTTGGTTTTAGTTTTTTAGGAGAAAGGCAATATGCCTTTATGGACGGTGAGTGATGGGAAAATTTGATATTTCTCTGCTACTGGAGACCTGTGTTATTAGCCCAGCAGTCATGTCAGAGTGAGGTTATGTTCCACTGGCGAGAGAACTGATTATGCCAATATCACTCCCCACAAGGTCGGGCTCATCCATTAGTTGCCTACAAGGCCAGTGCTCGTGTGCTTATCCACTGAAACAGAAATAACTGGGTGGGTGCTCTGCATACCTGGGGAGGCTGCTCAACGAGGGTTGAAAAGCAAGTTTGTCCTTCTTAGAACCTTCTTTTCTGTGTGTTTGCTTGTTATGTTTACTTTGGATGACACAAAATACTGTTGGCTCCTTAAAATTAGTTCAACTTCCTAATGGAAATAGGTGTAAATTGTTTGTTTATAAGCTCTTAACCCTCCAATACTCAAAACTCTGTGTGTGTGTGTGTGTGTGTGTGTGTGTGTGTGTGAGAGAGAGAGAGAGAGAGAGAAAGAGAGAGGGAGAGAGAGATGGATAGAGACACAGAGATTAAATTAATGCTGGTTTATAACTCTTGTTTTTTTTAGAGTTTAATAATTCTCCAACTGTATTTTCATGTGAGAAGCAATATGGTTTAAAAACAGCCAGTTTGAAGTGTGACAGTAGTAATTTCTAGAGATAATGAGAGAAATTGAAAATAACCTGAAATCTTGAAGAGCTGGGGCACATATGTCATTTCTTCCTAAAATAGAGGAATATAGCAGAGTGTATGATGTCACTACTCTAGCCCCAAAGAGTAGAAAATTTACAAGGCATAAGATATGCCTACATACTTATGGGATTTACCATGGAATTTTATTATATTTATATTGACTTTTGTATTATTTACATTTATTTAACATATAAAGTTACTTATATATTATATTGTTCTTTTATTTTATTACATGCATATTTTATAATTATATAGATGCAAATGAACCTAAGACATAAATTCTGTGATAAATGAGCCTCTACTGTCTGAAACTGGTAAATCACACTTTGCAAATGATCTATGCTAGGGAAAATGAAGGTGGGATTTTACACAATATAAAATTTCCCGTTCACAAATTAATAATGGTTGAAACAGGGTAATTAATTGGTGCATCAGGGTTCATTATAATAATCTCTTGTTTTGTATATGTTTCAAATTGTCCTGGTAAAAACAAATCTGTGCCACTTGTGAAATGGCAAAAGATAATCACCAAGATATTTTTTTTAATGTTATGAGGTAGGTCTGAACACCATGAAAAAAACAGTCAAGAAAGGAATAAAAACCTTTAAAAAAAAACAACACCTCCCTGTGTTTCTATGAGACTTCAGTGTTAGACACACAAACCACTCCAGGAAGACAAGCGAAGGGCTTTCATCCAAGAAAGCAGACGCACAGCACGGTTGTTGGAAGCGCCAGGAGAACACTGAAATCGAGGGGCTGTTACTGGACTCTTGAGCACCAGGGCCTGTCTGTTGGTCAGGAAGTGGCTTCAGTCATGAAACCTGCCTCCTTTTAACACCCGCAGACTAGATCCTGGAAATGTTGAGGCCAGCCTAAGCAACAGACTCACGTCAGAGTGACCTGTGCCAAAACGCGTCTACTTCTCAGTCTCCTGTAGGTGTACCTAATTGGTAGAATTAAATATATTGCAAGTGAGTCTGGAAGATGCAGGTTTTTGGCATTCCCTGTTTTCCAGCTGGAAGGAGGATTAAATGAAAGTTGAAAGAGGGTATCCAAGGTATCTATAATAAAGATGCAGAAATGCTTTATAAGATAAAACTCATGTAATAAGAGAAGGTTTTTGAAGGCCTGAATTGCACAAAGATGGCTCAATCAAGCAACATGATAAAAATGTGGAAATGTAACATGCCCGTAAGACACACTCAGATGTAGTTTGTGTTGTTCTTTACCTAAACTGTAGATAAAAGAAGCACGTACATTCTTCCTCTCTTTATTTCACAAAGTGGTATTTTTGAAGAAATAATGTTCTTAGTGCTTGTTGAGATTATAATGGTTAAACAATTAACAAGTTGCCTTTCCTTGTAATGAAACAATTATAACCTGGAGAAAAAAAACATAAACCAGGATAGAATAAGATCAAAACTGTGATTCATTTCTCTCAGATTGGCCTTTTGGAGTTATAAGTTTTCATAAGTTGGGGGGATTTAAATTCATTACCAGCCTATAATGTTTATGAGCCTATTAATTATGAAGATAATTTGACTTGATAACTGATAGATAATGGTGTAAAATGATGCTTCATTATCACACTTTGCAACATGACTTTTTTCCCAAAAATTATCTGAATATGAGTGTAAATCACAAGAAAAATCCTGAAAAACCAAACTAGGTTTCTGGAATAGCTGCTAGAAAAGGGCAAATTCACTCATTCATGTATT